GAAATACCATTTCTGGTCACAAATGTAACTTATTGCATTTCGTGTATTTTTCACGTGATCGGACATGATATCTGGTAGCACAATATCTGTCGTCACATTTCCCTCCTGCTTAGGTCATGCGTCCCACGCATAATCTTCCATAATGATCGTGGGTCGTCGAAAGGGCAGGGTACTGGATTGACATCAATAAAGAACGAAATTATGATGTCATCTATGATCGCCTTTAACGTAATACCCATTTTTATATAAATTTTTTTTTTTTTTTTTTTTTTTTTTTTTTTAATTATCCTAACACTATACAAACGTCCACGTCCAAGACGAAGGGTCCAACCCTTGCCATACGCCCCATCTCACGCATACAACTGTCGTATTCAACCAAGAACAAAGATAAGGAGTTAGTTATGGCGTCTTTCTCCAGGGTCATATACCAAGGTTTCGTTCCATTGCGGTATGTATAGGGTGGATCTTTTCACTCGATTCTTCTTAATAGGTTGGCTTTCATCCCACTTTGTCTTCTCCTTATTTTTACTAGGGCAAGGTTTCCTACTCAATACCTCCCATGACGTATACTTTTTGGGGCCCTTCTTTCGTTCTTCACCATTTTCCATAGACCATTTCTCGATTTTACTGGAAGCAGCATCAAGTATCAAGCCTTGTGGGGGTACGAATTCGACTTGGTTCAATTCATCCTTTTTTTCACCTGAAATTTCTCCAACGAGGTCGAATTGTCCAGTCATATTACCATCCTTCGCTTGTTCTGAACATGCTTCATTCTCGTAACGGTTGTCAGGCTTGACTAGGTAAGGGTCTTTTGTCATTTTTGTGTCGTCTTGGATCGACCTTCTAAACTTATTCACTCTTCTGTTCCAATCTTCGCAGGCTTGATTCAAGTTTTCCAACGGAATTCGTCGTCTATCTTCAGCTAATTTCGGGCACCATTCCAAGGTCGGCTGTTCGTCTTCTTCAACACCGATTCCTTTTTCATGACAATAGCCAAGATTACGTGTTCCTTTGGTAGGTCTTATATCCGCAGAATTTTATGATGAGAAAGGAAGCTCAGCGTTTTCTAGAGTTCCAAGTGTTGAGGAGTTGGTTTTACTACAGAGTTCTTCCTTT